CTCTCCCCACCCCCCTCTCTCTCTTCCTTCGTCCTCCCTGTGTGTTTCGAAATAAACTTATCGAAAGCTCCGTGTACGCGGCTCCGGACAGTTACAAGAATAACTCGAGTTCTAATCCGCGCTCGTACAAGTCGCTTCATCTGCTGAAGTACGGATGTTGAGATCGTAACAGTGCGTAAGATTTGCAGGAACGCGAAGCTCGTCTACTTGTACATTTATCGAGGAAGCATTATTTTTACGGTCCTGATATTTCAGATTCTGAATATGGATTTCTCAAACTTGAAAACGTCAGCAAAATTATTCGATCTTGAATTTAGTCCCATACGATAAAGAAGTTGCGTCATGGAACTGTAGCCGTTGCAAATTTATAAGAATATAATCATTGTGGTGGTAAATCCTCTCTCTCTCTCTCTCTCTCTCTCTCTCTCTCTCTCTCTGTTTTTCTCTTTCACGGTTGTCTGCTGTATTTTAGATGACGACCGACTCAAAAATATAACGACGGAGTCAACCACCATTTTATCCGGTCCAGTTAGGAAATAGGAGAAATTATTGGAAACCCCGACTGTGTACGCGCAGAGAAACCTATAGGAATGTGAGTTACACGGTGGTTATCAGGGTCGCATTAGGAGCGTGAATGGAGCACCGAGGAGCCGTATCCGCAGGCCCGAGAAAGAAATACGATAATATCGAAAACGCAGTTTGCTCCTTCGGTACATACCCGAAATCCTTTTAGCTAATTTAATCGGATCTAATTCCATTACACAGCCGGCAGCAACCCTTAAGCCCCTCCCGGTCGTTCCCATTGTTTCATCCCGTTAATTTCGCTTTTCCTTTTTCCCGCCCCCCTTTTTTTCCTTTTTTATTTTTTTATTTTACTTACTCTCGCTCCCGCGCACAAAGGGAGACCCGTCGAATGAGCCGTGTTCATGCACACACGGCTATATCCGCGTGCAGAACTGCACGTGCCCGTTCGGGTAATCAGGCGCAATCTATTGGAAATGTTAAAAATCATTTTTTCTACCTCGCCGCTCTCTCGCCTCTCTCTCTCTCTCTCTCTCTCTCTCTCTCTCTCTCTCCCCTCTCTCGTTCGTTTATTCGTGCGCATCTCTGTTTACGTAACTCTCTCTCTCTCTCTCTCTCTCTCTCTCTCTCTCTCTCTCTCTCTCTCTCTCTCTCTCTCTCTCTCTCTCTCTCTCTCTCTCCCCCTCGTTCATCCACTCATTCTCTGTCGATCGAAGCCGCCGCCTCTCTGTCGGCATATCGCTCGCATCAACGGATTTGTCCAATCGACCGCAATCACGTATCCAACCGGTGCATTATAATGGCGACGTTATAAATGGACCGGCCGGCAAATAAAAGCACGCAAACGCGAAAACCGCATTTCTGACTAATATCCCGTCATGTCGGGGCGCTATTTCGAAATCAGCGTCAGATTCGTTCCTCTCCGTCGTGCGCGCTCCAAACTCGTCGACCGTGTACGCGAAATATAAATACGCACGATTAAATAAACTCTGTAACGGCGGGTTAATTCGCGTCTTGATTCTCGCGATGTATTTAACCGTCATGAAAATAACACGTTCGCTCGCGAACGTGCGGTGCTCGGCGTTGAGCGGCGTAAATCCGCGGCGATTTTGAATTTCCCGGCGTCGACGTTGCTCTCACCGTTTCGTGACGTTCTTGATATTCTTATTCGACACCGTGTGGCGCGACAAATTCCGCCTCCGCCGCAACTTGCAACGACACTCGAGGAGAGTGAGAAGGTGTCGAGCACTCCGTCAAGGTCCCGTATAATTTGATACACGCCGAGTGTTGTGTCGATCAGCCGTTCTCGTCGAAGGCTCGCGCGTTCGCGATGCGCGCACGTGCTTTCTTACGTGCACACGTGCGCACACCGCACACCGCACGTCGCAGACGACGGGATAGACGTGTACGCGCGTTGCTCGATCAGTCGGGGGGAGGGGGGAGGGGCACGGTAGAAAAGGGAGGTTAATTAGGGATTCAGCTGTTTTGCATCGCCGGATTCGGCTCGGACGATGAGAACGACCTTCGAAGGTACGGAGGAGCTCGCGGCGACGACGACGACGACGACGACGAGGACACGAGGTCGAAACGTCTGTGTGAGATATTGATTCGGTCGGCCCTCTTTCCTGCGGTAGTCACGTGAAAGAAGAAGTGGACGAAGCTCGAAGCCGCATTCGTGCACGTATATCGATTCGACCGGCAGCAGGGAGAGAACGAGAACAAGAGAGAGGGACAGAGAGAGAGAGAGGGGGGGAGAAAGAGAGATACACAGAGGGAGAGAGGGAGAGAGAGAGAATGCAGGCTCTCGAGCACGAAAGCGAGTCACGAAAGCTATAGAGAAAGAAAGAGAGAGAGAGAGAGAGAGAGAAAGAGAGGAGAATCGGTACGTTAGTCGCGTCTGACCGGCTCCGCCTCGTACGCAATAATTATTAATAAAGCCAGCCGAGATTCGTTTTTCCCGATCAAAGTTTCACGTCGGCATCGCGAGACGATATCAATGGCAAAGTGCCGAGATCAACAGCACATCTGATCAGGGTACCGTAACCTTTTCCGGACGAAAAGGAAGTAAGGTTTTCAACGGACATTATTAACGATACAACGTAACAAAACATCCATTAATTGACTGTGAACCTCGTAGCTTCACGAGTTAACACACATTGTACTTGTGAAATAAATATTAAAGTAATATCATTACCATTAATAGTAATATCGTTTAATGCGCGTATTACATAACGATAATGTGAAAATCAATTTTATCCCTGAGGCGCGCGCGTTTCAGATTGCACACGTGCACACAGAAATCTCCTGCGAGATAATTGTAAAAAGTATAGGGAGACGCGCGAGCGAAAATACGGTGCGCGTTTAATGCTCGCAGAAATTGCAAACTGGTAAAAGATAGACCTGGGAGATTGAATATTTCAGACGAATTGCAGACGAGGCGAACGAACGAGCAAAACAAATTCGATAGTTGCGTAAAAATAGAGAAAAAAAACGGACTCTGTATGTGCCTGGATAAAGGTTAAAGCTGAATCGGTACATTCTTCCGTGGACGCGGCAATTCATCGCGTATCTCGCACGCGGTGCAAACTTATATTCGCAGCATATTTTCGAATCCATTGTCTGATCCAAAACTACCAGCTGTCGGCTGTATTGAAACTTGTCTGCTAATCGGTGTCATTCTCGTATCCGTATATCCGAATATTATCGGATTGTATCCCGATTGCTTTTACCGCGTACGATAACGTTTTTCACGTTCGTTAATCGCTGCATTAGCGTCCGACATTTAACGTTATCCTATTTTTCGTGCTTGTAAAATGCGTCTTTCTTTGTGCGGCGTTTTTACACGTTTTTATAAATACCAAACGTAATAATATTACGTCGAGAAGATTCTTCCCCGCGGAAAAAAGATTTTCTCCGCGAGAGAAAATTCGACATCGGATTCGTCGGAAAATAAGCTGAAATTGGGTTTGGCTGAAATTATAGATACGAATGCACGATATGGCTCATTAATTACTAATTAAAATCGGCCCCCAGAAACATCGTCTGTTTCTCTTGCGTGTTCTCCCTTTGTATACCGTGCGCAATCGTAAACGATACAATACACATATAGGCAGAGATGTATTTATACGATTTATACGATTTGATTTTATGTGTGTACACATTTATATGCGTCTCTCTCCCTCTCTGTGTTACCGCAAGAGAATTCATTCTCTCCAATGGCATATCGCACACGACAATTATCACGTTGGACACCGACCACTGACGACGAAGCTAGGCGGAATCTTCGCGCGCGCGCGCGCGCGCGCGCGTTATTCCGGCGATTCTCGGCGAACGCGCGGAATCCCGCTGAAAACAAACGGCTCCGCTCGAAACGTTTTTCTTTGTGACGCGGCGCGACCCTTACGCCGGTGTGTGTGCGCCGGACGCGCACACATACGTCGCCATAACTCGCGCCAGGTAGCATGAGAAACGGCGACTCGAGCCCGCTTTTCGTAAGCGGCTTACTTGCGCGACGGAAAATTGTACTACAGTCCTGCGCGCCCGTCCGCGTGCCTTTTTCTTCGCCTTAACTGTCTCTACGTCGTACATAAAATGCACGATCATCCGCCCCTCGCGACGTCCTCCCGCCGCCGCCACCACCACCTCTTGCCGTTTTCCCTTCGCTCCTTCCCCCGTCCACTCAGCCTCGCCGAGCAGTCCGCACCCGATGTTTATGCTGCACATAAGCAAACACAGTTTTTCTTCGGCTAATGTACGCGGGAGATCGCCAAGAGTTATGACTCGCGTTGCGAGCTTTCACGGTTGGAATTATTAAATTATACGGCACCTCAAAGCCCGGTGTCAAGCGCGCGACGATATTCCCGCGCCCAGTCGATTAAGGCGTCATCTATGATATATTATTAATAATACCGATGTGTATATACACGGCACACATACATATACATGCGTATACATGCGTATACATGCATATACGTTCGACGCTGGATATTCTCTTATCGTGAACACTTAAGTAGTCGTATCAACCCCTATATATCTATATATAAGAAGCAATCTATAATTGCAAACTTGATATCTCGCGTGTCGCGGACGCGGCGGGGGTTGCGTTTTCATCCGGCGTAACTTCGCGCGCGCGCGCGCGCGTCCGTGTCCGGTTCGTCATCCCCTGTGTGTAGCGACGAGACGACGCGCAACGTGTCCCCCGTCGTTCGATGTTTCCCTCGGCGGATTCGTCGATCGCGACGGGGCCTGGTCGAAAAACGAAACGTCCGCTCGTCGTTGCTCGTGCGTGCTTGTGCATTTTGCGTAGTCCTGCGCTTTCACGATTCTACCCTCTGTCTGTTCGCCGCGGCTTGCGCGCTTAACCCCCTCACCGTCCCCCCGTCTCGCCCGCCCGAGCCCAGCCCGGCCCCGAAAACAGAAAGCATTTTAAGCCTTTGCATCCGCAGTAACGCGAGTTTTCGCTTTTGGTATGTTTCCAG